CTTTTGCCAAATATTGAGACTTTTCTTTCAGATGTAGGTTTGTTTGTGCTCAGCTTTCCAAAAGTGGTTCTCTCTTTGCTTTAAAGAAAAATAGAAAACAATTTTTAAAAAGTAAATGTATGAATACTAGTTCAAGTAATTTTGGAATTATGTTAGAGCAAATACCTCTTTTCAACTACCCATAATGATTTCTCAAAAGAACAGAAGTTTTTGGTAGCTGCTTCACTGGAATGAGCTAAAAGAAGGTGTAATTTTAAAATGTTAAAAAATTTAATCTGTATCTTTTTAACATTAAAATTTCTTTATGTATGGATAAGAATTTTAAGGAAAATATAAAAAATAATTATAGGTTGACAGTGCTATGTTTGAATTTTTTTCTTTTAAAGCTTACTTTTTAAATTTTGAGATAGGGTCTTAGTCTGTACTCTAGGATGTTTTAGGACTCACTATGTAGTTTAGGTTGGCCTCAAATTCCAAATTTTTCTTTCAGCCCTTGTACTAGGTAAAGCCATTTTTCATATTTTTTTCAATTATGAAAAAAAATGGCAGGTGAAGTGTTTCTTCTAATACAAATCAATGTACAAAATCTTTTGGTGTAAGCAATGTGTAATGGTAAAAGAAAATGTGCTTCAGGAAGGAAGGAAGGAAGGAAAATATGTAAATTGTCCAAATTTCTAAAAGAAGTAGAGGCTCATACAACATTAATTCCAAGTAATTAAAGAATGGCTTATGAGCTAGTTTAAATATAGACATTATAGGATATAGGTACATAATGGGTACATAAACTGTAAGAACATTGCTTAGAGTGAAAAACTAATGTTTATGATAACAATTTCTTTAGTTGGTTCCTTTGTGAACTATGTCTTGTTGGCCTTGAACTCACATCGAGCCATCATCTTCCCAGAGCCTTTTGAATGCCAGAATTACAGGTGTGTGTGACCACACTCAGCTGTGACAGCAAGTTCATTTGGACACTCTTCTCCCTCCAAACTCGAGGAAGTAATTTTATAGCTTATCATCAAAACAAATAATATTGCTTTCATTTTATTATTACCTTTAGTAGCTGGGAACATCTTAGCAAATTAAGCCATACAACAGTGCCTGCTTAAACAGTTGATTATAAAGTAAAAGAGAAAACCAAGGGTCGTTGAAAGGCCAGCAACAATCCTTTTATAGCATGCCTACTAAAGTACTTGACTTTGGGAATTTGGGGAGCAGTGAGACCGACCAAACCACCCAGCACTTTTAGATTTCATCGACACCCAGTCCAGTACTATGGGGAAGAGACAAGACTCACTAAGGTATTACTCACACTTCTGTATTAACTAGTTCTGACATTTTCTTTGCCCTACACAGGAAAGTATGAGGTTGAGAATGCCAGGTGCAGGAACTTACGTTTGAGGGGTGTGAAGGCCTGGTTTATTGAGGTCCAGGGATCTTAGCTCCTGTATAGAGAGGCGGCCAGCTCCACCGACGGAAACTGAGCTGCGCTTCATGCTTGCAAACCTAATTCATGATTGCAGTATTAGAGAAACGTTCCCGATGCAAGGGGCTCGTCAAGCAACAATTGCCATTTTTATCCTGGAGTAGAAGAGCAACTAAGTTGGTTTCTTATGATAGTCTCTTCCCGGTGTGCTATATTTGTTTTTCAAATGTATACCTAAGTCCTCACTACAAAGATCACCTATGCGGCTTCAAGTATTCAGAACACTCAAATAAGGCAATACAAAAACGAACAATATATGATCCCTGAATCACAAGGCAGTCGGTGATTACAAAATCCTCTGTCACCCACTACTCTTACTTACATCTGTTTCAGTGGTAACTCAGACCACCTGACGAGAAATCCCGGGCTTCCGTCTTCCTAAAGTGTGTTATTTGACACGTGTGAGGGCAGACCACAAGACAAACAACAAAACTCACTCTAAGCGTATTATCAGGAAGGAGTAGGGGGTGTGCGCGGGACTGTCTGGAAGAAATGTAGGCAGAGAGGAGGTGGAGCCCTCGTGTCTGCTCGTAAGGGTCACTTACGCAGCCAACCCCGGAAATGCCAACACCTGGGGATGACAGCATATTGCCCGGGTGCCACATGCGTGGCCATGCGACCCCCCCCCGGGGCGTGACAACATCTACCTGCCTTGCTTTAGTGTTTAACACATCGTTTCTCAGTTAATACCCCTCCCTGTCTTTCTGGCTCTAGTCTCCCTTTCAACCAAGACGAGACCATCCGGCCCACAACACGATGCACAAGAACGCGTTAGTGTTTCACAAGCACGTCTATGTGGGATCCCGCCTCCGCCGCCGCGGCGTTAGGCACGTCTCACCTTGCCGCTTGCTTTGTTCGAGCTGCGGGATGCGAAGCCCGGAGGACCGTTATTAGCACGGGTGGGCCGTGCACTGCTGAGCACACGCCCCTTCTCGTCTGCCTGCTCAACCTTCCACTCAGATGTCACTCAAGACTTCAACTCTCCAGACTTTTCCCCTACGGCGCTGCATTTCTAGCCCGGGGCGCCGCGCTCCAGTCTGTCAGTCCCCACCCCGACCCGGGCGACGCAGCATCCCCCGTCCTCCCTCCACAAACGCGGCTCGCACAAGCCTGCAGACCCCGGCAGCCTCCACCGCACGGCTCTCACGCGTCTTAGAGCCTGCAGAGACAACCCCACGTTAGCAGTTCGTTACCTTCCTCTCGGCTTCCCGACCAGACCCGGCGCCCAGCTCCTGGTAAACAACACAGCCACCCAAGACCCCGGCTTTCGCTTCCGCCAACCAATGGCCGTTTGAATTTTAAAAAAAACCCCGCCGGCGTGACGTCACGATCACGCATTTCCTGCGCGCCGGTCGCGGTCGCCGGAAGTGTGCGTGCCGCTCGCTTCGTGGTGCAGCCGGGGGCTCCTGGCGCGGACCCCGGGGTCCCTGTCGTTTAGTAGCCGGCGTCCTTGTCCCGAGACGGTGCCGGCCCCACGCTAGAATCCGGCACCTAGGACGGCAGCGACGTCGGGGCTGGGGCGGCCCGAGCGTTCCTGGAGTCGCGTTCCGTACAGCAACATGGCTGCGCCCACAGCCCGGGGAAGCGAGGCTTCTCTTGGGCTCTGGAAGGATGTCCGCCAGGACCAGGTTTAGGCGGGTCCGTTTCCGTGGGGGCGAGTCTGGGGGAGGCAGCGTGAACTTTTCTGAAGGTAGGGCGGACTACTGAGTGTGCTGGTGCTCCTAGAGTCGCGTTCCGTACAGCAACATGGCTGCGCCCACGGCAGCGAGGTTTCTCCTGGGCTCTGGAAGGATGTCCGCCAGGACCAGGTTTAGGCGGGTCCGTTTCCGTGGGGGCGAGTCTGGGGGGCAGCGTGAACTTTTCTGATGGTAGGGCGGGCTACTGAGTGTGCTGGTGCTCTGCTAGCCGGGGCCCAGGAGGAGTCTGAAGGATAAGTAGCTGCAAGGCGCTGCAAGCGCTGTGGATCCTCCCCTCCCGCAGTGCAACCTCAAGCAGGCATTGCTGCTTAGCAGACAGCGGTGGGAGGTCCTAGGGCGCGGAAGTTTATCCCGGAGCTGCTGTGCTGTTAGTTTGCGGAACTAACAGCCTTTTTCAGTTCCAGTTTTTTTTTTTTTTTTAAATTTTTTTCCCCTACCCATCACCGCGTCTCCTCGACTCACGTCACGGGAGAATCAAAATCACAGGTGTCACGGGGACCCCCGTCATTAATAACAGTCAGGAGATGTGTTAGCCATTGTTATGTTTCAGACTCCGTGAGCAGCAAGCAGTTCATGGAAACTCATGAAAACAGAACATAAAAATGCTGACTTTGGGCGGCCGTTGTGGCGAACGCCTTCAATTTCATCACTCGGGAGGCAGAGGCAGGGGGATTTCTGATTTCCAGGCCAGCCTGGTTGGCATAGTGAGTCCCCGGATAGGATAGCCAGAGCAACATAGTAAGACACTATCTGAAAAACAAAACAAACAAACAAACACCAACAAAACCCTCAACCAAACAAAAAGATAACTTTGAAACTCAGTGAAATCAAGTAATTTAGCCTGAAAGTGGCAGTCTTAAAAAAACTGAGGAACAAAGACTAGTTCACGGTCACTTGTATAAGAAATTTGAGCATAAACGCTATGCTTATTATTAGCTATGCCTTTCACCTATTTCTTCTTCTGTTCCCTCTTAAAGTGTCCACTTCATTTTAATTAAATAAGCTATATCTAGAACGCAAAACATTGTAAACAGAGATGAAGTAGTTCTGAAAAACCTAGTTACTAGAGAGTGGCTCCAACAGATTATAGATCTCGATCTTTAATCTTGAAATTCTGACCCAGCAAACTAGTTAGTTTCACTCTAGTTATGCCAGAGAAACTAGATGCACTACTGATATTCCACTTTGCTTAGCTGGAGCAGTCGTTCAGTCTTACTGTTCTTCCATTGATAACTGTTAAGTAGGGCACGGATCGGAGTAATAGATGACAGACACCCTGTGGCAAATGTAGTTTGAAAACACAAAGGCTAAAACTCTTGTTGAAATTCTGTGGCCCTTTCTAGACAGCTTTGTGTCCTGTAAGAAGTTGAATTCTTGTAGTTGATTAACTATTCTTTGTCTTGACAGGACATCACCTTTTAAGGATTCAGGGGCTTCAATACTTGGATGATGTGGACTAGTAGCTCAATCCAAGGACTAAAACAGGACTATGGAGGGCATAGGGCATAGGAGAAAGGAGCATCAAACTGGAAATCCACATCCATCTCTCTAAAAGCATCTTTGACCAGGTTGGCTGAAAAATTTGAACGACCAACTCTGAAATGAAGAGACATTTAAAGGAGAGGAGCCCACCTTGTATGTTTGCATATCAGACCTACTTGTGTGTTCAAAGTACAAGATTATTGAAATACGGGACGTTAAGAACCTGATTTTAAAAGCTTTTTTTTTTTTTTTGTTTGTTTTTAGCGCTGGGTATCAAACCCAGCACCTCCTACGTCGAGCTACGCACGCTCCCAGCCCTAGTTCTGATTCTTGATTCCCAGTTGTTTTCTGCTCTATTTTTTTTAAAAAAGAGAATGTCTGTGGTGCACCATTTGCCACCTGGGTGGTTACTGGATCATCTTTCTTTCATTAACAAGATAAACTATCAACTTCTGCAGCACCAGGAGCCTTCCTGCAATAACAACAAGCCTACTTCTTCTGTCTACCTGGGCTCTCTTCAGATGGATGCCACGCCTCCTTTTGGAGCTCCTGCTCCATGCATTGGTCCTGATTCTACTACTATGCCAGGCAATGAGGATGAAGACGGAGGGAGTTGTGGAATGATCACCCAAAAATATGTTTTCCGACCTGAGCTATTTAAAGTCACCAAACCTTACATAACTTCAGCGGCTCACAAAGAATGCCAACAAAGTAACAAAAAGGAGAATTTAGTGACTGGCAATAAACAAGAAGTCTCCATTTCTGTTGGGAAGGTAGGAAGTTTTAAGGTTCTTCTTTTTTTTTTTTTAAACCATGAAACAAAATTTTAATTCCAGTATCTCAAATATCTTCCCATTTTCTAAGTATAAGGAATTAATAATGCAGAAGGTGTTAGCATACCCAAGAACAATTTTTATTTATTTATTTATTTTTTTGTTGAGTCAGGGTCTTGTGGGCTGCCCTCCACCTCACTGTGTGGCTGAGGGTGACAGACTTCTTATCCTCCTGCCTCCATTTCCCAAGCCCCCCGGGGTTATAAGCATTTGCCATCACCTACCTTTAATTTTAGATCCTAACATTCTAGAACAACACATTGCATGTTTCAGAAAAGTAAGCAGGGGCCTGGAGAGATGGCTCAGCAGGGAAAGGCGCTTTGCTGTCAAGCCTCGTGGTCTGAGTTTAGTCACCAGGGGCCACTTGGTAGAAGGAGAGAAACTGACTCCCACAAATTGTCTATCCAAGGTCTTACTGCATTCCCTGTTGTCTTGGAACTCATCTGTATAAACCAGGCTGTTTCGAACTCTTGCCTCTGCCTCTGCCCCTGGAGTACTGTGATGACGGGCACTTTGCCACCGTTGCCTGACAGATTTCTCATTTTAATGTGGGAAATACAGATGAGCATATGTGATGAATTCTATCATGATGGCATGTGCCTTATTATTATTATTTTTTTTTTGATATGCCAATGCAAATCACACAATGAGCCTAATCTTAAATCCTCTTACGTATTTAGCCATCAACAACTATTTTAGCCTGTTCAGAATCTGGCACTGCGTTAATTAGTAGCAGGTCAGCAGTGAAAAGGAGGAAGTTACAGCTCTTTGCTCCTGATCTCACAGTCTCTGCTGCACGTGGTAGTCAGGTACAGAATACTGCTAGTATTGGTTTGTCTGTAACCCTCAGAGCAATCCTAAGGGCCTTTACGCATTTGTAGGTATGCGTTTTGTATGTGTAGGAACACATGTGACTTGGAGTACATCTCTAGGTCAGAGGACAGTTTTCAGGAGCTAGAGCTCTGTCCTTCCACAATGGTGGATCCTGGAGATTGAATTTAGGTTCTTGGGTTTGGTGATAAATGTCATCTTGTCAGCCTTCCGAATACCTTTTTTAAGATATATTAAAATTAATTTTTTTTTTTTTATTTTGATGAGAGGTGTTTTGTTATGCTGCCAGGATAGTTTTGAACTTGGGCCTCCCGTCGCCTAGCCACTGGGATTGTCATCATCTAGCATCATACCTGGAACTTCTTTCTTTTCTTTTTTTTTATCTTCTTTTGGAAAGGGTCCAGGTAGCCCAGGTTGTTCTGGAATACACTGTGTAGCAAAGGATGACCTTGAACTCTTACCCCTCCTGCCCCCTACCTTTCATTTCCTGGCATTACAGACCTGAGATGCCATACCTGGCTCTGAGAAATTTTTTTCTTAAAAAAAAAAATTATTGATATAATGCATATGAGTGTTTAGCATGTAGATATTTCTGTGCAGCATGTGTATGCCTGCAGAGACCAGGAGAGGGCGTCAGATCCACTGCAACTGGAGTTATAGACAGTTTTGAGCCACCGTATGTATTAGTATTCAGGCATCTGTACTGGCCTGACCTTGGGGTCCTGACAGGATCCGGCCTCAGCTGCAGCCACTAAGAGCACCACCTGTGCACATTCATACTCACTGTGTTCCCTTTGAAAGGGCCCTGCGCACCCATCCTTCTCTCTCTCCCTCTCTCTGTCCCACTCTGTCTCTCCTCCTCTCTCCCCCCTCTCCCCGTCTCCCCATCTTTCCTCTCTCCTGCTGTTCCTGTCTCTAGAGGCCGGTCTCTAATAAAAAACCCCTTTCTCACGGCATCTTTCTCTCTGGAGCGCTGCTTTCCCTAAGTTACAATATGGATCCTGGGAACCAAACCCGGGTCTTTTGTAAGAGCAGCCAGTGCCCTTGACTACTGGTCTTCACTTCTCTGGTAGCCTACAGATGGTTCATGTTCAGAAGTGAAGAAAGTGGGGAGTAGGTAGCTATACCTTATGCATATAAACCGATTGCTAACTGTGGCAACAACTGCTTATGAAGAACCAAGACTCCTTCATATCCCATGGGCACCGATTTTGATCTCAATGGACCTTCTTACCTTCAAAAAAATAGGTAGAATACTAAATCTAACAGGTTTCAAACCGTCAACTTTTGCGATACGCTGCAACATTAACTTTTTTCTCGTTACCCTCTTTAGAAGCGTAAAAGATGTGTGGCTTTCAATCAAGGTGAATTGGATGCCATGGCATATCATACAAAGGTAGGTATAAAATATTTATCGATCATGTAGGGAGAGTAATACCAAGTGGCTTAAAAGTGAACAAAATATATCTTAGAAATAAAGCAATTGTTTTGGTCAGAATTAGAACTTAAGTGGTTTGTTTCTTGTCAGCAGTGAACAGTTTAAGCCAGTTTTTATTAACACCACATATCCTGTTAGTTTAATTAATCTTGTACTGCTGGCTAAATTCATTGAGGATGCTGCAGTGTTTTTACTCTTGGAGATTTTTCTCTCATGTGTTGAATTTAGGTTCAACAATAAATGACTGAACGTAGACTGTTATTTAACTTTATATATGCAGATACAACAAGAGAACAGAATGGTTATTTGTGGGTGAAAACTTGAAGAAAGATAGGGAGAGTAGAATGAGGCTCCCTTATATATGAAATCAGCGTGATAATGTATGTGCTTGTGCAGAGTCTACTCTGGAAAAAAAAAAAGCACAAAATGAATCAGAGCTCTTTAAAAGAATGCACATTTGTATTTTCAGTATTGGAAATGATGTGAGGATGGAATATGTAACATGGCAAATTATGAAAATAATGCTGAAAATTTACAGTGGGGGGGGGGGAAACCCTGAAAACAACAAAGAAACCCCTCAAAAGATTCAACATGAGAGTAAGTATAGCATAGCAATGGATGATAGATTGCTGCATGGAGGTGGTCTTCCGAGGGCCAGCTCCCATGATCATATTTTGATTTCTTGTATTATGATGAATTGTTGATTTTTTTGAATTAATTGTTTTAGTTAGCCTGGAAAATAATGAGGTTCATCATGACACTTTCTTACATATATCATTGTACCTTGCTCATATTTCACCCCCCCCCACTGCCTCCCAAGTAGTCCCCCTTCCTTTATGATGCATACACACACACAGAGTTAAATAATGATACACATGCATATGTCATCAAATCTACATTCTGGATGAGAGAAAACATGCCTATTTTTGTCCCCCTCCCCCTAATTATCTTGGTTTGAACATTTGGTAGATACTGTCATATTGCTGCTATAGAAGTTGTAGAATAGTTAGGTTATACATTGAATTCGTTTCCCCCTCCAGAAACTACCATGCTGTTTTCATAGCTGCTGTACAATTTTTGTATTTCCACCAACAGTGCATACAGGTTCTAATTTTTCCACATTTTCACCAAAACATTCTATTTCGTTTTTAACTGCCACTCTGATGGTATGGAATGGGATCCCGTTGTGATTCTGTGTAACTTGATATTTTGTATTTTTACTTCCATCGTGAGAAAAACATTTTGTAATCTCTCTTGTGATTTCATCTTCCACCTGCCTGAATTATTTAGGAGGGAACGATCTCATTTGCATTTGGGGTTGAGTTTTAGTTCTTCATCATTTTGTTCTTTATTTCTAACTTAAATCCTTTGGGGAGGGTATAAGATTAACTTCCAGTTCTTTTAAGTTTGTTGAGATTTGTTTCATTGAAGTATTGTTGAGACTGTACTGTGTGGGGTTGGTGATTGTGTTCTGTAACTGCTGCTCCTATGCATAGCTTTCAGAACTTCTCTGCCTGCAGAATTTGTGTTACTTGTTCTGTCCTTCCTGGTGGGCTTGATAAGATGGGTTTAGATCAGCATTTCTCCCGTCTTGAGAGACCATGATTACCTAACACTCCAGTGAGGGCTGTGAATAAGTTAGCTTACCATGAAGATTCACAGTCGCTGGCAGAAGATGTGGAATGTCTGGATCAGGACAAAGGACTCTGGCACAAGGAAAAGCGTGTGTGTTACGTGGATAGGTGCCCTTCCTACCCCGTGTTGTAGGGCTTTGCCGTGCAGAGCATAGGTGAGCATAGGCAGCGGATATTTTACTCACCACCACGTCCGGATACCTGGCAGAAACAGCCCAAGCAATGGAAAGTTATTTTTGGCTCGAAGCTTCATCATTTTTTGTATACACTCATCGTTACATTACTTAATAGGGGATTTATGAGGTGTGTTTCATTCTATAGAATTCAAAAGTATGCTGTTAACACCCATATCTCATTATACTATATAAAATTAAGCTAAGCTTAATAAGAATGGATTTTAATATATTAAGTAAGATATTCAAAGCACAGCAGGAATTTAATTATTTGGAAAATTATTTTATTCGTAACCTAATTTTATTTTTTGTGTATGGATGTTTTGCCTGCATGCATGTCTGGTGCCGTGTGTGTGCCTGGTGGCCTCTGAGGCCAGAAGAGTGTGACAGATCTCCTGGAACTGGATTGACAGCTAGTTGTGAGCAGCCACGTGGAAGTTGGGAATTGAACCCAGATTCTCTTTAAGAACGGCAAGTTCTCTCAACTGCTGGAGCCATCTTTCCAGCCTCTGGAAGATAATTTTAAAACCAGTATCATCTTAATGTACTTTAAACATTTTTTTTTTTTTTTTTCTTTTTAAACAGATCAGAGAGCTGATTTTGGATGGATCTTCACAGTTAATCCAAGAAGGTCTCAAAAGTGGTTTTCTTTATCCATTTGTTGGAAAACAGGATGGAAATAGTGACCACATCACTCTACCACTCAATGCTTGCAATTTGTCAGAATTATGTGAGATGGCAAAGCATTTGCCGTCCATGAATGAAATGGAGCCTCAGACGCTATGTTTGACAGAAGACGATACGTCTATTCAAGAGCTGGATCTGTTATCACAGGTCATTGAAAACAACTCTAGCTTTCCCAAAATGGTTACTTTAATGGGGCAGAAATACCTACTGCCACCAAAAAGCAGCTTTCTTTTGTCCGACATTTCTTGCATGCAGCCACTTCTCAACTGTAAGTAGTTTTTATGTTTGTTTTAGAAAAAGATACTTTTTCTGTCATCTCAGAAGTCAAACGTTTGAACTTTGATTGTAAGTTCAGTTTTAAAATGCTGACTTCTGCTCTATTGTTTATTTTTGAGACAGAGTCTTGTTAAGTGGCCCAGGCTGGCATGTATTTACCCAGTTGTTATATGTATAACCCAGGATGGCCTTGATTTCAGTTCTGCCTGCTTCTGCCTTAGCTTCCTGGATGCTAGGATTAATGTATGCGTCACTACACCTACCTCCTGGTTTTTGGAAGTCAATAAATTTTCTTGACAAATAAAGGGTTTAAAAAAAAAACAACTGGTATTTAAGAAAACAAACATAATAGTTACTTGCGCTCAGGAATTCAGAACACACTTGTGTTTAACCAAGAGTTTATCTACTGAAATGAAAACATTTTAGTTGTGAATATTAATTCCCAAATCATTACTATCCTTTATAATTTTTTCATTTCTAGCCTTTTATGTTACATTTTAAGTTTTCAACATCATTCTTTTAAGAAAAAGACATGCTAAGGAAAGACATCATTCAAAAGCACGCTTTCCTACTGGAGGTGGATTAATCCATCTGTTTTATACAACCAAGAACTTTTGCAGCACTGTCCAGGAGTTTTCCATGGGGATTTTGTTGTTTTGATTTGTTTGCTACTCCTGGGGCTGGAGAGACGACTCAGTGGTTAAGAGTGCTGGCTGCTCTCCAGAAAACCTGGGTTCCATCCTCAGGACCCACAGCTATTAACTCTAGTTTCAGGAGATCTGACGCCCTCTTCTGGCCTCTGAGGGCATCAGACACACATGTGGTATACAGACAAACCTGCAGGCAAAACAGTGGAGATCTATTCCTATGCAGTTTTGTCTGAATAAAAGATGCTCAAAACTCTTTTCGACAACTGCTTATTTACACTCATTTTAATTTCAAGATGACTTAAGAAATATGAAATTATCTTAGCTAAGAAATTTGACTTGGGAATATTATCTCTTACTGGCCAAGATCTCCCTTAGTTTGGTATTTACAAAGGCCAATGAATAAGACTATTATAATAGCTATTGTTTAAGCATTAACTATTTCTGAATTACTTTTATAGAAGACCACAGTGAGAACGGATCATTGTCCTACAGGTGTTAAAGGAAAACAAGTTTTCAGTTACTGAGCCTACCTCTAAATCATTTGTTACCTAACTTAACATTTTTTTGTACAAGGTTTAAAAAGTTGTTGAAGTCTATAATTACCCAGGCAGGTAGTCATACACACACCAAAACCTGTCAAGTTTGATTTCTATGCGTGCTTCTGAAGGCCACTGAGGATTAAGTGAGATGATTGTGTCAGGTTTTTAGCTCAGTGTTACATGTTGTTAATAAATTATAACGTATCCCAAGGAATGTGGTAGGTGAGAGGTGGTAATGTAATCAAGTTGAATTTAATCTGTTATTAGGATATTTTATGGCAACATTTTAAGTTATAAGCAACTGCAACATACTTTAGTATTGAAAACCTTTTAATTACTGGCAGGCCACCCTATGCCTGGGTGGTCAGTTATCCAGTGATAGTGTCTGTCATAAATTCTTCAAAGTAGATGACAGGGATGAGTTACTTAGAATGTCATAGTTTTCATTCTCGTTTCATCTTTTACATTAATAATTTAAAAACAACCACTTTCTTATTTTACTTATTGTATTATGTGTAGTTGGAATTTTCTTTGGCCTTCCAGCCAGCAAAGACATGGAGACTTATTACTAATTATAAATGCTTTGCCTTTGCTTAGGCTTGTCCACTAGCTCTTTTAACTGAATTTAACCTGTTTCTGTTCATCTACATTTTTGCCTCAGGGCTTTTTGCCTTTCATTCTGTATGTCCTACTTTCCTGCTTCTTCCAAGTCTGTCTGTCTGGCCTCTGGCTTCTCCCTGGCATCTCTCTCTCTCTCTCTCTCTCTCTCTTTTTTTTTTTTTTCTTCCTTCCCAAGACTAAATTCCTCCTCCTACTTACTCTCCCTGACTGGAAGTTCTGCCTATACCTTCTCCCTTGCTATTGGCCATTAAGCTTTTTATTAGACCAGTCAGGTGCCTTAGGCAGGCAAGGTAAAACAGCAACACACCTTTACACAATTAAACAAATACAACACATCTTTACATAGTTAAACAAATATTCTGCGACAATTATGTCTTTTATTTTTTAGAGTATACTATAATTACACCATTTCTCCTTTCCCTTTCCTCCCTCCACACCTTCTCATACATGCCTCCTTGTTCCCTTTCAAATTCACGGATTTTTCATTAATCGTTATATGCATGTATGTACGTAACCTGCGCTGTTTGTATAATGTTACTTGTGTGTATGTTTTCAGTGTTATAATTACATTCAAGGGAGATAAGTATACAGGGAGAAAGGAGAGTAAGATAATAGTTAAGGATATTTGAAAAAGTCATAAGGAATAAAGGCTGACCTTGAACTTACAGAGATCCTGTCTCTGCCTTCCAAGTGCTAGCATCAAAGGTGTGCACCACCTCCTGGCAATGACTTAAAATTTTTATCATACAAGTCTTTCACTTGTTTGGTTAGTTATCCCAAGGTACTTTATATTATTTAAGGCTATTGTGAAAGGTGTTGTTTCCCTGGTTTCTTTCTCAATCCATTTGTCATTTGTGATTTTTGTTAGTTAATTTTTGTAGCTACTTTGCTAAATGTGTTTATAAGCTGTAGAAGTTTCCCAGAAGAATTTTTAGGGTCAGTTGTGTATATTATGATATCATCAGCAAATCAAGATACTTTGATTTTTTTTTTCCTTCCCATTTTTTTTATTCCCTTGATAGTTGTCTTATTGCTCTAGGTAGAACTTCAAGTGCTGTATTGAATAGGTATAGAGTGGACAACCTTATCTTGTTCCTGAGTTTGGTTGAATTGCTTTGAGTTTCTCTTCTTATAAGTTGATGCGCTTGCTATAAACTGCCCTTATCACGTTGAATTGTGTCCCTTGTATTCTCCATCTCTCCAGAACTTTCATCATGAAGAGTGTTGGGTTTTGTCAAAGGCCCTTTCTGTATCTAATGAGATGATCATGTAGTTTTTAATCTTTCAGTTTGTTTATTTGGTAGATAAATTTACTGATTTTTTTTTTTTTATGTTGAACTATCCCTGTATCTCTGGAATGAAACCTACTTGGTTCTGTGGATGATGTTTTTAATTTGTTTGTGGAGAGGGAACAGACACTGAGGGAATCCAGAGAATCATAAGGACATAGTTTAGAAACCTGTACTCCATCAAACTAGAAAATCTAAAAGAAATGGATAATTTTCTCCATACATACTACTTACCAAAGTTAAATAAAGATCAGATAAACAATTTAAATAGACCTATAACCCTTAGTGAAATAGAAGCAGTCATTAAAAGTCTATCAATCAAAAAAACAGCCCAGCGTTTTTAAATTTTTTTTTGTTTGTCTGTTTTAACACAAACATCAACCAACTTTCAAAGAAAAGTTAATGCCAATATTCCTCAAATTATTCCACAAAATAAAAACATAAGGAAACTGCCCAATTGATTTTATGAAGACACAGTTACCCTGATAACCAAATCACATAAAGACTCAGTAAAGAAAGGATTAGAGACCAATTTCCCTTTTGAACATAGATGCAAAAATTCTTAATAAATACTTGCAAACTGAATCCACTGACGTCCATCCTTGATGTTAAGGCGTGTTTCTTGGATGCAGCAGAAGTATGGATTCTATTTTTGTATCTGTTCTGTTAGTCTGTGTCTTTTTATTGGGAAATTGAGACCCCCCCCCAATATTGAGAGAGATGAATGAGCAGTGTTTGTTGATTCCTGTTACTGTGTTCTTGTGGTGGTGGTCATCGTGGCGTGTATCTCTTTCCTGTTTCGACTTTCTGGTTTGGGATTATTTATCTCTTGTGTTTTCTTTGGTGTGGTGTACCAGCAGTTAGCCTACCTGCTTGCCTCTATCCTTATTTTAATTTTCATCCTTTAGCTCACTTACAAGCCTGTACATTTATTAGAATATATCTATGTTGTACAGTTGGTGGGGAAGGTATAACTCTTCCTTAGAATAAATTCCAGTTAACTAATGTGAATGGAATAATGGGCCCAGAAAATTTCCATTTGACAGATGCCATAGTTATCATTGAGTGGCAAAGTAGTGCGTGAGAGGAGGGTGCTCTCATGCTTTTAAAGTATCTTGGCATAAGGTAATTGCTCAGGAGCAAGAAAAGCTTGCTCATAAACGTACCATCAGTTGGTACTTTAACAGTGACAGTATGACACAGTTTGACATCCTGGATCACCCGTTTCTTTGGTATAGTGTGGCAGACTTACTTTGGTAATACTCTTGCCAGGAATAGATGGTCTAAATTTAGTAACGAGGCAATACCAAGCCCAAGTTAGGGACGTCTGTAATAACCTGAAATAGGAAATGTGATAACTAAAAGCAAAATGTGATTCTGATTTTGACCTGGATTTAAAAAGAAAGAAAGCAAGAAAGAATTTTGTGGTAACTGGAGGTTTCCTTATGTTTATCGTATCAACTATAAAACTGAAATTTCAAAATAAAAAGTTAAAAAAGGAGAACGTTAAAAAGTACATAGGGCCAGGAGGACCATTAATGAGGCTGCCAGACTTGTAAGGGGGTTTTCAGGTTGTTAGTACCCAGCTCAGTGGACCGTAGCCACCCATAGATGGCTCTGCAAAAGTCAGTGTGCACAACTGCAATTGCTGTTGTCTCACAGGCCCAGAGTTATGGTGTCTAAATAAGTACCACAAACTCTTCTGTTGTGTTCCTTTGTGCGTGTGTCTATAAAGTCCTTCCATTGGGCTGGGTCTGGCTCAGCTAAATAGCATGCTGAACATATCCAAGGTACTAGGTTCAAAAAGCAGTACTTTACTTTTGAAACACATTAATTTGTTATTATCATTGTGTGTTTCTGTGAACATGTGTAGAAGTCAGAGGACAGTTTTGTGGACTCTTCTACCCTTGTGTGGGGTTGAGATCCAGCTCAGATCAGCAGGTTTGGTGGCACTTGCTGGTCCCTCTTTAAAACTTTTTGTCTTAATTTCGTTGTGTGTGTGTGTGTGTGTGTGTGTGTGTGTGTGTGTGTGTGGCTGTGTGTGTGTGTGTGCATGCACTTGTGTGCTTGTGTATTTCTTATCTTTGAAGGCTTCTGGGGATTCAGCTCAGAGCTTGCTTATGAGAGTGTGGGCTCTATGGCTTCCCCTCAACCACAGTGTTTAGCTTTTAAACTCATCACATGCAGAGGATGGTTTTTGAAATTGTGCCTTTGATTTCAGGTAGTAAGACATTTGATGTAATTGTGATTGATCCGCCATGGCAGAACAAATCGGTTAAAAGAAGTAACAGGTACGTGGGAACGATTCATCTGTTCGTTTGCGTTCTGGAGCCCTTTGTCCTTTGTGCTTTCTAGTTTAGTATACAATAAACATGACAGCGGTTATCTGAGCTACTGACAGTGTGCTCATCAAAAAGTAATTTCCTTAATTCTAGATACTAATACATGTGTGAAACAGGGTCTGCAGCCGTCACTGAGGCCTAAGCTATCCAAGGTTTCTCAACAACGCTAAGGGCCGTCCTTTGCCTTCTCCCTGTCGCATGTGCCATACTTGTAGTTTACAGCAATGTGCCGGGAGTGAATCTCTGAGTTCACATACTTGCTTGTATTTTCAGTCTGCGTCATCTCAGGATGAGCGCAGTCAGCTACCGGGCTGGCCTTCACCCTTACTAACGTCCTTATAACTGGAGGAAGCTTTCTTCCCCTGTACTTGTGATGACTGCTTTTTAGTTTCTTCTCACCCTTCAGTTTCCCAGATGCAGCAATTCCTGTCTTGTTATAAACTCAGACTGACGTCCTTCCTCTGAACAATTATCTTTAGCTTTCTTTGGATTTTTGTTTATAAGGTGTGTGATAATTTTCTTTCTAAGTTGTAAGAGTGTAGATGTCTATATTTGTATCTACGTCTGTACCTCTATATTTTTTGGACCCACTTGAGAATGAAATAAGATAAAGATACTCTTAAAAATTTGAAAGTATGTTTGGAAAAAGCAGAGGTGCTGTGATGTCATCATAAGGCGCACACTGCTGGCCCCTAGATCTCCTATCACCTCGCCCAACCTCACCTAGCTTATTACACGCTGGAAAATTACCAAAATGTAAGTCACTTGAAAGTAATTAAAAACAAAACGAAGCAAACCAAAAACAACCCAAAAACCTACATCCTGGCAATTAAAAACTTGTAAAATAGAAAAATCGGGGCATGTGTAAGTGCCAGTGAATCCACCAGGTGTCAGTGTGACTCCATATTTACCACACATGAGTGGCTCCTGGAGCTTTGTGTCTGTGGGGTTGGTCCTTGAAGTTAATTTTCTCATGTTTTTCCTGTTCACTCTCAGGTACAGCTGTTTATCACCACAGCAGATAAAGCAAATGCCTGTCCCTAAGCTGGCTGCTGCTGACTGCCTTGTTGTTACTTGGGTGACCAACAGGCAGAAGCACCTGTGTTTTGTGAAGGAGGAACTATACCCTTCATGGTCTGTGGAAGTCATTGCAGAATGGTACTGGGTAAAGGTGAGTTCAGAAGTCAGCTCATCTGCTAACACAGTGTCGCGTACCATAGCTCACGGGAAAGATACAGACTGTCCTCACTGCGTCCACGTCACTGGTATCTTCATCAGGCTCCGATGAGAACTCTCTGTGCTTTGTGCCTGAACACCTGCCTTCCTGTTCTCAAAGTGTTTGTCTGTTTATCCCGTGTCTATGCAGTAGGGCCCCAAACTGCTGGCCTTGGGAGATCAGGGGGAGATAAAAGAGTAAAGTTATAGAAAACTCTAGTTTATTAAATAATGTCGTGTGTGTGTGTGTGTGTGTGTGTGTGTGCGCGCGCGCGTGCATATGTAATATCTGTAGTTTAATGAACAAGAAAGAATTTTGGGACTGTCTTTTCCACACAGCAGCTGCTTCTCTGCCCTTTGCGTTACCCATCTCCTTCCCCTGTTTATGGGGATGAGAGCAGAGAATAACAAGGCACCGTAGAGCACCTGAGAAGGTTGGGGAACCAAGAACCTTTTCTTTGTTTTTTGTTTTCCCCCTGTAATCCACAGTGTCTTGAGGACCATCTTGACCTTAGCTACCTTCTAGCTTCTCTCTCTCTCTCTCTCTCTCTCTCTCTCTCTCTGGAGAAAGGATCCTGCTAAGCTTCCAGCGTGGAATTTATAGTGCAGAGTCAGTCTCTGCACTAAACTGTGGCTCTGACATTCTGTCTGTCTGTCTGTCTGTCTGTCTGTCTGTCTGTCTATCTATCTATCTATCTATCTATCTATCTATCTATCTATCTATCTTGGTTTTCGAGATAGGGTTTCTCTGTGGGTTTGGAGCCTCTCCTGGAACTAGCTCTTGTAGACCAGGCTGGTATCGAATTCAACAGAGATCCTCCTGCCTCTGCCTTCCGAGTGCTGGGCTTAAAGGCATGTGCCACCACAGCCTGGCGAAGTTCTTTAACCTGAAGTGTAGAAGGCTTTATTTTTAACTACTTAGTCACATGGTTAGTAATCACTGGATGTTATTTGAGTGAATTAATGACTAAGTTAACAATGGCCTATTTTTCAGGGTCATTAAAAAGTGGAGATTGTTTATGTGAGAGATGATAACCGATATATTTAAAATATCCATGTTATGAGTTTTAAGACGTTCCTTATAGGCACATTGTCCCGTATGGTAGCCACTGTGACATGGAGCTCTCTAGTACTTGACTTTCACCCTTCAAGTAAAGAGATACTGTAGTGTTAAATATATGTTGGTTTGAAAGACCCACTATGGAGGAAATGTCATATATCATGATACCTGTTAAAATTGGTTGCATATGCAAATACTGTTTTAGATATGCTAGGTTAAATACAATTAAAATTAATTACCTTGCATTCTTTTAAGAAACTTATTTCTAGTGTCACTACTAGAGAATTTAAAATTATATATTTGGCTTACATATGTGGCTCATACTATATTTTTTATTGGACAGTCCTAGTGTGGAGGTTTAATAGCTTCTTTCTCTCTTTTTTTTTTTTTTTTTTTTGTGGAATCTGTATAAAAAAAAAAAAAAATTGGCTTTCCATGGTTCCTTCCTTTCAGATCACACATTCAGGGGAGTTCGTGTTTCCATTGGATTCTCCACACAAAAAGCCTTATGAATGTCTTGTATTGGGGAGAGTTCGAGAAAAAACTACTTCAGCATTAAGGTGAGAAAACTGATTTTTTCAAAATTATATAAATATAGGCTTTTAAAATTAATATAGTGATCACTCTGACTTTCCTTTATTTTTATACTTTTAAGTCTAAAATGGCCTAGAGCTGAAAAGTGTAAGTTACATAATAAATAAGATTTATATTAACTTTTGTTTTATCCAGAGTATAGTAGTTAAAATGACATCCTAAAGATGTTTGAATTTTTAAATCGATTTCCCTCATTGATTCTGTCTTTAAATTTATTTATTAATAGAAGTAATTACTATTTAAGAGGAAAAACGATGCAACTGTAGCACGTAATTAAAAGTTGTCCTTTGAGTAACAGTTTGTTATCTCGTTCTGTTTTAATTAGGAGCACAGATGTGAACGCGTCCCCTGTCCCAGATCAGAAGCTGATCGTCAGTGTGCCCTGCGTTCTTCACTCACACAAGCCACCGCTTGCTGGTATGTGTCTGTGAGGCAGAACTTTACGGCCTTGAAAGTAGCCAAAGGGTTGAAATTAGCGTTTGAACGGGGTCTGTAGGGTTGTGAACTAGATGTTTGTTTTAATATCAGAAGTGTAGAAAGTTCATTGCAGAACTTATGGAGTAGAGCGCGTGTTGGGTTGTGTTACCTCGGCTGTCCCTCGGCCCTCTCTCTCAGCCTTACCGTCTTTAGTAGCCTTGGCGGATGAAGGCTGTTGGGGCCTCAGAGGATGTAGTCCAGTGAGTGGTCTTGTTTTGCCCTCAGGTTTAGGATTCAGACCCAGCAAACCCCTTACTTGTTCTAAGGCCAGGAACCCAGCATAATAGATGTGTAGGATCCCCTGACCGTGGCAGTTGTGTGTCTCCCGAAGGCAGGCTGCCATTCCCTGAGGCTGCAGTGCTCAGTGCTGTGCCCCTCATGGAGTGGAACTCAGCAGCAAGGACTAGCGGCGAGTGTTGGCCTCGGGCATCGGCTCACACGCGCGCGACTTCTGGCTCTGCTGCTCTGGCCGGTTACCTGCATCTTTTTCCTTCGCCCTCATTCCCAGACTGAGTAGTGATATCTAATGCTGCAGAGCGGTAAGAATCGCTGTCATTGCCTTACAGCGCATTTAAAAGTCAATAAGTGGTCTTACTCAGGGAAGTCCTTGAGAGCCTGGATTTGATATTGCCAGTTTGCTTTTCAGGTAACTTCTTCAGGAAGATAGTTTATTAATTTGATCATTACTACTTAAAAACTATGGCCTCTTTTTTTTTTCTTTTGCAGAATATAGTTCGTGAGTTAGGAAAAGAAAACACAAGGAAGGGAACTCAGGGGAGCTGGGAGAGGGCTCAGTGGGTCAGTGCTTGCTCAGCCAGCATGAGTTCAAGTCCCCAGCATCCATGTAAATAAAAAGCGAGGCTCGGCCATGTGTGCCTGCGGTCCCTTCATGGGTGGCAGAGGCAGGCTCTTCCCAGAGCGCTCACGGGCCGGCCACTCTAGCCAGATGCTGTGCTCCAGTTCAACGAGAGAACCTGTCTCAAGGGAGTAATAAGGAGGACACCTGCTCTGGTACTTACATGCCGAGTGCCCACGCCACACCTGTGTTACACAGATACACACCCACACACACACAACAAATGAAAGAAAGTGGACTCAGGATTTCTGTTTCCATCGTTAACTTTGCAAAGGAGTCCTTGCAGTACCTTTAATTTGAGAATCACTCAGATGTGTCTGACTATTCTTTGCCTTAGAAGGATCCTCTGAAATCTCACACTTGGGACTGCATAAATACTGATGCATTAGTTTGTGTCCTGGATGAACTCTGTTGCTCCTTGAAAAAGGATGTATTTAACACCAGTTGTACTTTCAGGAAATATAATTTGTATACTTCAGTTTCGATTATCATTTGGTATGCTCCAAAACTTATTAAGTCATTTGCTTTAGGATTTATAGTTTGCTATAAAAGATTTACAAAGAAATTTAAGGCTCCCAGCCTTCCATTCTGAAATAGTTTTTAATCTCTTTGTCATTTCATTTGAAATAGAGTAAAAATACCTTTAAAGATCACTCTTAAGAGAAGATTTAAAGACAGTGGTGACTTAAAATGTCTTGCCCTGAATAGTCTATAATGTGCAGTTCTGCCGTACTGCCACTAGATGGCAGCACAAGCACATCTTTTTAGACCGGAAGCCATTCCAAACTCAAAGTTGTTATTTGTGGGTAAAATCTGAATGACTCAATATAGTTAATCTTCAAGCTTTGGCTACATAGTAATATGCAGGAAGTATTTGTGGTACTTTGTTTTTGAGCTTATATTAGTTTAGGTTATGTGTTCTGTCTATAGAGAGGTACAAGTTAAAGCCATCAGAAGGTGACTTAAAGATTCCTGTGGTAAATTTTACAGTGAAATCATAACTCGGGGGGCTTGCATGATATATATATATATATATATATAATATATATATATATATATATCGAACTTCTTCTTGTGAACCTTATTAAACTGTTTCATGTAGTCTGAAAACATGAACTGTTCTCTCTTGCTTCAAAACCTTAAGGTATGTCTTCTTAATTAAAAAGTCATTTTATACGTGTGGGTGCTCTGTTTGTATGTTTGTTCATCAGATGCCTGCAGAGGCCAGAAGAGCTCATTCAGTCCCCTGAGTTAGAGTTACAGATGGTTGTGAATCACCACGAGGATGCTGGGAATCAAACCCTGCTCCTCTGTAAGAGCAGCAAAGGTTTTTTCTTTTTCTTTTGAAAATAGATTCCCTTCTCATACAACACATCTGATCATAGTTCCCCCCCCCTCAGCTCCTTCCGGATCTTCCCCACCCCCCTTCCCCTCCAGATCCACTACCCATCAGTCTCTTGTCAGAAAAGAATAGGCCTCCAACAGATAACAACCAAACATGACAAAATAAAGTGCAATAATGTAAAGTCAAACTATCACATTGAGGTTGGACTTAGCAACCCAACAGGGAGAGAAGAGTCCCAAGAGCAGGCAAGAGTCAGAGGCTTCTTATTCTCACAGTTGCAGCAGGTGCTGTTAACCGCTGAACAGTCTCTTCCACCCCCTCATCAGGGACGCCTTTGCCAAAAGAGACTCTGGAGCCTAAGTAAACCGCCATCTTGTATCACTGTACCTTAGCTTGTGTTAACTTCTAGAAAACAGAAGGGGGCTGGGTAGCGCAATCTTACGTCACTGTGTCTTAGCCCATGCTTACTTATAGAAAATAGAAGGGCGGTTGGGGTTTTCTCCTTTAGGTCTCTAGAGAAATTTTTCTCTTTTATGTTGTCCTGTGTTTAATTCCGTACTTTTGAAAGGAATAGAGTCTTTTATGTCAACATCTAAAAGCATACCAAAGCCTAAATTTGAGTTAGTTCAATTGCAGGCAGTAACAGCTTTTAATTTCTCTTTGACTTTTGGTAAGTAAGAATATTACTCTTGGACAACAAACAGTCTGAAACACTCACAATGTTTTTAATAGTAATGTAATAATTTTGTTAGTTATCTGGGCTTCATGTGATGCATTTTGATCACATTCACTTCCTCTCCCTCCCCAGCCCCTCCCAGATCCACACCTTCTATATTATGTTTCTAACTTTACAGATGTTACCTTTTAAACCTTTCAGTTATCCCCAAAGAAGCCACGAGGCTGGAGGTGTAGCTCAGAGATGGAGTGCCTGTCTAGCATGTACAGGCCTTGGGCTGGATCCTTACTTCCCAAGTAAAAAAGAAAAATCTTGCACAAGCCTTGTTTGTCATTCTTAGAATCTGATAGGCTTCTTCTCAGGCCAGCCTAACATAGCAACGGTGAACTGTACTCTGCCTGCTGAAGTTCTTTCTTCTTGGAACCATTTTTATACCAGATTCCTGTTATGCGGCTAGTAGAGCCACCAGAACATGATCAGGGTTAGAATGATTTAATTGTTTATCTTCTAAGTGGACAAGTGCTTTTTAAAAAAAAGTTGCTGTGGTTTCCCTTTCTCCCAGGCAGTGTGGACAACAGTTACTTAACTAATCTAAATGAAATGTCTTCTCTCCAAAAAAGATGATTTTTCAGTGTAATAGTTATGAATACATAAACGAGGGCCTCCTTAACTAGAAATAGCGTGGTGAAATTTAGGCAAAGAACTATAGTGTGGGAAAAGACTTAGATCTTCCAAGTTTCAGCTCTGGGACTGTAGTTACGACTTTTGAATACTCCTGTTTGTATACAACTCTTTGCTTAATTATTTCACTAAAGTATGTGCTAAAACTAGACTTATAGTTTATCTTCATTCAGTTTTCAAGCAGATCGCCTTCATATTGTTTTTAAATGCATGGGTTGTATTTATTAAAAAATAAAGTAAATGAATTCTCAGGAGAGGTGTGAGCAGCATTGGAAAATTGGAGGGTCAGGTCTGTGGGCGTCAATACCCTTGTTTCCCTTTCCCTTTCCTTTCCCGTCTGCAAATGAAAAGCCATAAATCTGAACTAGTGCAGGTTGCAGTGGTGCTGCTCCTAAGCCTGCAGGTGCTTACTCCTTTAGCAGAGCCAACCATGATATGCTTGACTCTAATTTGCTGTCTGTCTTAAAAACCAAAATACCTGCCTCTTCTATCCTTCCCTGCTTTAAAAAAGGACACCGATTTTTTTTTTTTTTTTTTTTTTAATAATTGATGATTTTTTTTTTTTTTCTTTTCTTTTTGGGCAGAAGTACTGAAAGACTACATCAAGCCAGGCGGGCAGTACTTGGAATTGTTTGCTCGAAATTTACAGCCGGGTTGGATGAGTTGGGGCAACGAGGTCCTCAAGTTCCAGCACGTGGATTATTTCCTTGCTCTGCAGTCTGGACGCTGATGGTAAAAGTTGTGCTGCGTTTCCCCAGTGTGCTTAGACTGTGAGCTTTTAATGTGCGTAGACTTCGGCTTTTCAGCAAGTGACCATCCTTCGGGCAGTTTCGAGATGAATTCTACTTCAGTTGCACTAATACCTTCCCCCATTCTGGGTTCTCTACAATTAAAGAGGTAAGCAGTTAGTGGAAAGACCTGCCTCTGCCGCCAAACGAATTTGGAAAGCGTGTACTGTGGGCTCCAGACCATGAACTTGCCTGTCGGTATTGTTTATTTGGTGGTGTTAAAAAAAAAAAAAAATAATGGAAGCCTCATTCCAGAAAGAGTCAGAAAGTATTACCTGAGTCCAGATGTCTGCATGTGTTTAAACACAGAAACCCCGGCTCCATTGGAGCCCGTGTGCTTGGGTGGCATTAACTTGCAGTACCCAGTGGTGGCAGCTCGGTCGGGCAGGGCCATGCACTCTCCAGTCTCCCAGTGAGCAGCTTCTGCCATGCTGCCTTTGTGTTATCTCCATGCCTCCTGTCTGGCCTGAAATTGCAGCCTCGGCAATATCAGAAAAAGTACTGGCCAGGTAGTTGGTTTGTGTGTGGGCTGAACAGTTTGGACGGTTTGGGAATGTTTCCATTGCATTAAGAGTCACTATTTAAGCACTCCTTTATCTTTGCCTTTTTCTACAAGAGAGCTTAAAGATATTTCTTATAGAATGTCAAGAAGTAAACACTGATATAGTTATGAAAAACTGTTTAGATTATAGATTTTATACAAATAAATATTTTTATACCACGGTGGTTTTGATTTTCTTTCTTTAGTGCTGGGGATTGAATCCAGGCTTCACTTATGGTTGGCCATTGAGCTAAACCTCTACCTACTTACCTACCTACTGTCTGTCTGTCTGTCCGTCTGTCAGTCCATCAATCTATCCATCCATTCATCTATCTATTATCTGTCCATCCATCTATTATCTATCTATCTACTATCTATCTACTATCTATCTATCTATCTATCTATCTATCTATCTATCTATCTATCTATCTCTGTTTTTCGTCTGTGTAGCAGCTCTGGCTGTCCTGGAACTCACTCTGGAGAGCAGGCTGGCCTTGAACTCACAGTTCTGCCTGCTCTGCCTTCCAGGTGCTGGGATTAAAGCTGTGTGTCACCATTGCCTGGCTTCTAAAATGTTTTGATTGAAAGGATTCTTTGAAAAGCATGTTGATAATATGTACTCAAAAATTATACATTTTTTAATTGAAAAAAATTTCATGTAATATATTCTAATCATGGTTTCCCCTCCCCAACTTCTCTCAGATCCTCCCCGTCTGTCCAACTCCATGCCCTTTTTTCTTTTCTTTCTCTCTTTAGAAAATAAACAATAGATTCACCAGTCTTCATTGTGCAGAGAGTTGTACATCATGCACAGTCATCTACATCATGGCCCTTTGCAATGGCCCTTTTCATCAAGTCCCCTTCTCCCATCCCTGATCCCTGGCAAACAGTGATGTGTTTTCTCACGTTAGTCCTTCTCTTATATAGTGGAGGAACTGTTGAGTCCGGGTTCTTTCACCTAGCATTTAGAAAAAGCGTTGATAATGTTTGCACATCACTGTTTACTTACAAAGTGGTTAGACTGAAATTACTTTGACAGACTTACTTAGTTTACTCACCAATTTAGTCAGAAGTTGTTTTGAACTTTATCTTTTGAGGGTGTAAGGTTAATATCAGAAACTTAATTTTATGCTTGTAGACATAGCCTTGTTAATTAAATGGAAAAGGAACATTAAACGTGAGGCAAACTTTTCAGGATTTCATTTGAAATTATTCTCAGCTTCTTGTATTTATTTAGATTTTTTTTGTGTAGTTTATGGAAACATTTTATTATTAGCATGTTTTTGGAATTTTTTCATCATGAATATTGGTCCTTGAAAGAGAGAAATAATTTTTTACTCAGTGAGCCCTGCATTCGACTGGCAGGAGTTAAAGTGTCAGCTCTAATTCTAAGTTCTGTCACCCTTGGGCCTAGTTACTGAGCATTGTTGATGAAAGGATGACTGCAGAGTCTACAGAGGCATACCTTACATACTCCATGAGGAAACGAGTGGGTAGTGTGGGCACTATACTTGCTATTGTTATCACTCAGTTTTAGCCAACTGACCTGGTAAACTTATTTTGAGGTTTTTTTTTTTTTATTTTCATAAAGGGCTTCATATATTACTTTGTGACTTCTCATTAGGAGTGGTGGTATATTCCTGTAAAGCCAGTACTTGGGAGGTAATTGGAAATGCAGTGCCATCTTTAGCTATATAGCTAGCCTAGACTGTAGAAAAGCCCTCTCTAAAACCCAAGCACATGACCAAGGATTTCTGAAATGGCTCTATTGCTCTCTACACCTGTGAAGTTTCATTGGCTTTTGGACTCAGTGGAGAACGTACATAGATTCATAGTTGGTCATAAGCCATCCACACGAAGCTTCCCTGCTAACTCAAGAAACTTATGCACCCTTGGATGTCGTGGCCTTTCTTTTTATTCTTACCTTCCTTATAGAGTCCTTTGGAATAGTTAATCACCTTTTGGGAAATCATTCAGCCACCTCCCCACACCCCCTGACCTCTGTGTGGCCGTGCACACACATGTGTGCCCGCAGCACGTGAAAGCCAGACCTACCTTGGCTTTTGTTTCTTAGGCGCCATCTTCCTCTTCTTGTGAAGGGTCTTCCACTGTCCTTACAATTACCAAGTAGACTACGCTGAATGGGCAACAAGCTCCAGAGGTTCACCTGTTCTGCCTCCCCAGGGCTTGGTTTACAATCATGGACCACTCTACCTAGCATTTGTTCATGTGGGTTTGGGGTTATAGAACTCAGGCCCTCATGCCTGTAAGGCAAGCATTGCCTAGTTGTTCTTTTGTTTGTTTGAGACAAGGTCTCACTCTGTAGTTCACTCATTTCCCCTTCCTCCCCCTCCCTTTGTTTCTGTCTTCTCTTTACAATTACCCTGGGCACTGCTGTCAGTAGCACTTTGCACATACAATGGCCATTTCAGCGAGTGCATAGTCTGAGGCCGGCCTGACTAGATTTGGATACCAGTTGGCATATAGCCATAGCAAGTTAGGCCTGAGTCTCCCCATCCACAGAGCTGAACCAGAAATGCTTGTTTATTTTCATTTCCAGTTTCTGTTTATGAGTGTCTTGCTTGCATGTATGTATGTGTACCACGTGTATGCTTGGTGTCAGCAAAGACCAGAAGAAGATGTTGGATCCCTTGGAACTGGAGGTGGTTGTGAGCTGCCACATGGGTGCTAGAAACTGAACAGCAAGTACTCTTCACCATGTAGTGTTCCCTCTACCCCTGAACCTGAGATCTTAGGAGCAGTCTTGTTAGTCCCTAACCAGAGGGCTCATTGTGTAGCCTCTGGTGTATTTGAATGTTTCCTATATTATCACAGAAACATACCTTCTTCAGTGTGGTGTAGCATCAGTCAGTCTTCTTAGTTACGGACACAGTGTTTCTTATTAGATTTTTTATAGGTGAACTGATAGCCGGAGAGAGCTTTAAAATCTAATGGGCTGCTTAATGTTTTGACTAAGCCGTTAACATGACCGTGAGGTTGTACTTATCCACTCAGTCACATTTTAAGGACGTTCTACATAACACTGAGTACAGATAGTTAAAAGGGGGAGATTCCATAACCCAGGGATGGTAAAAATAACTCATGTTGTCTTTGTCTGGATGTGTGAACCAACTCAAAACCCTACATTCTGTTACCAGTCTGCTCCAGTTAGATAACAAGCCATAACTATCATAGTGTTGTTGAACTCTACCACCCAGCCTATTCCTAGAGCTAATCAAGATCTGCCAGTTTCTGTGAACTTGAGTGGAATCTATAGACTCCCCCTACCCTGCCAAGATCAACCCAAACCTTGGACCAGGTAAGAATGAATGGCCCTCCAGGGGTGGAGAACACAAGAGCATTATACACTGTTCTTTCAGGTTAGATACTGGCCTAAGTATTCAGTACTGTCAATGGGCCAATTTACAGTGATGGCTCAGGCAAGGGGATAGCGGTTTGTGTATGGGAATTGCTTTTAACAAGTATCACTGAGGGCAGTATGACATTCAGATCTTTTGTTGTTATTGAGACAGAGTCTCATTTAGCACAGGCTGGTCTTGAACTTGCTCTGTAGTCAAGCCTGGTACCCAATAAGCCATCTCACTGGCCTTAAAAACAAAACAAAACAAACAAACAAACAAAAAAAACCCAGAACACAAAAAACAACAAACAAAAAACTCCAAACACAAAAAACATTCTTATTAGAGAAACAGACAAATGTATGCAAAACAGTATACAAGCACCAACAACACCTCAACTCTATTATTTAAAAGTCAAAGGTCCTTGGGGTTCCATCCACCTTGAGCTTGGAAGGCGTAGTTTCAGATGTTGCTTTTGGCATGCTTTGGCCATACCTTCTACTGGGGAACACTTGTTGCGTAATGAAACCGCCACGCACGCGTTTCCATGGGTTTGCAGAGCTTCATTCTGTCCCAGCTACGCATTGTTTAGTTGTGGTAAGTTTCTCACTTTCCTATAGTTTTACAGGAGCCTGACAGATAACTTGAAGTGGCATCTAGAATGATACCAAGAGCTACACCAAGAGCCAGCAGTAGGTTAGCAGCGCCATATTTGATAACTAGATCTCAGAAAACTGCCCCATCGCGGGCAGTGTTACCCAGTTTGCACACAGCTTGTTCGCTCGTATGAGCATGGACAGAAACTGCTGGGAAAACACGGCTATCTACTACTGTCTTGGGCTGCTCTGATGTGCCAGGAGTGGAGTGAGCACACACGCAGACTCGGGCAGACAGCATTGCAATCCCTTCTGCAACCAGAATGCCATGATGTTTGTTCATTCCAAGGTTTATTTCAGGGGCGTGTACGTGTAAGAGGGTAGGCACCTTTGGAGGCCAAAAGAGGCCATCAGATCCCCTGTAGTTGTGATGACCTCATTGTGAGTTTCCCTATGTGAGTGCTGGGA